TGCTCCAGGCTTCGGAGATAGGACTCAGTAGGGTCTTTGCTGTGACCAGTGTAGAGCTCCCCTTCATGACTCTGGGAAGGACAGTGCTCACTCCCAAGTTGAAGTCTTCAGACTATGTGCAGGAGTAGGAGGACATTCGCCACCGCACTCGTTAGTATCTTTGCTGCTACCATTTCCTCTTGATATTTCAGTTGTTCTCTGCAGTGAACATACTGTTCATAGACAGGAAAGCAAAAAAGCACGATCTCACTTTCCCTTGGAAGGGCTGCTGACTTAGGAGCAGCTACTCCGTGTCATAGGCAGAGCAGAGGCCTGTTTTCCTCAATCTAGCACAGGTGGAGCCACGTGGAATGCTGAGTCTGAGTGAGCCAAGTAAGCATTGCCTTAATAGCATATTCAAGACTTCAAGCAGTGGTGAGTGAGAGAGAATAAATTAGGGTTTGTGGTGTTTTCCTGTTCGTTTGTTTGTTTGTTTGAATGTGCATGGTTGTTTTGCCTACATGTATGTTTATGTACCATGTGGGTACAAGGCCCACAGAGGCCAGAAGATGGCATAAGATCTCCTGGGATTGGAGTTACAGATGGTTGTGAATTACCATTAGGTGCTGAGAATTAAATCCCAGTCCTCTGGAACAGCAGCCAGTGCTTTTAACCACTGAACCATCTCTCCAACCTACCACATTTTTTTTATAACTCACCAGGAAGACATGGAATATTCTATAATAATGTAGACTCCTTTTCCTGGTACTAGTGACAGCATTTGTGACTTTCTTAAAGGTTGTATGATCCAGGTGGGATGGCATGGTTTATCAGGGGGAAAAAAGGGGGGGTGCACCTACTCCATGAACTTAGACATGCCCTGCTGTGATTAGAGTGGATCTGTCCCTGGTTATCACTTACCATATGAGTGGAGAAGTCCAGGTTCACACTAAAAGGAAGGCATCTTGTGCAGAGAGGAAAGGATGTAAGAACAGCGAAAACTCCTTCAAATGCAGAGAATGCTTGAACTGGCTGAGCTGATGCCAAATAGTTGCTGCTTTCAAGAAATAAAAACTGAAAAGTGGACACAGAAAATGTCCAGCAGGTCGTGTAGGTTTGGGGATGTGGCCAAGGAGATTCTTAACACTTGAAGAATCTGCACTGATAACAAGTTGGTGTGTGTTTGTTACTTTTCATGGCACTGCCGTCTTCCGTCTGTCATTTTCTAGACCGCAGGAATGGAGTCAGATGTTTGGGGAGAAATTTAATCCAGAGGGTCCCTCTTTCCCCATGGTGTTGGCTATCTGCAGCAGACTAGCCCAGAGGTTTTAGAAAGGAGCAACTCTTCTTTTCAACTTTCATGCTTTTCCGAGTGACAAGGTGGCACGTGGACCATCCTCCTCCACTCTGCCTGAGGAGGTGGACTGTCCTTGTGAGCAGCCCACCCCACACACTGTCAGCTGCCCAGCAGTCACTGAGTGGTCATCCTCACTGTCAGTTTACTGCTTAGGCTCTCCAGTGCTTGTGCTCACATGAGCTTTACCTTGTTAATAATGGCTCCAGATGTAGTGCTAGTGATACTGGTTGTCTAGGCAACTGGGATGAGCTGCAGGGAAGCCATCCAGGAATTTCTAGAGTCTCTTCTCACACTGTCACAAGAGGAGCGAGAGTTCAGTACATGGAGATACTTGGAGAGAGCAACTATTCCTGCAGAACTCTCTTTAAAGGTGTATTTGATTAATTTTTTTATGTGTATGTGTTTGGGACTTAGTGTATGTATATATACCATGTGCATGCAGTGCCCACAAAGGTCAGAAGAGGATGCCAGATCCCTTGAAGCTGAGTTACAAAGGGTTGCGAGCCACCATGTGATTGCTGTGGACCAAACTGCAGTCCTTTGCCAGAGCAGCCAGTATTCTTAACTGCTGAGCCATCTTTCCAGCTCATTAGAGAACTTTATTACAGTATTCTGCTTGAAATACTCGTTTTATTGTGGTTATTGTCTTAACTGTGTCTAACTTAGAAATTAAACCTTATATGTGTGTGTGCTGAAGTGTCCTTAACTCAAATGCTTAGGACTAAGTTTTCTGCCTTTCTGCATTTTGGAATACTTGCACATATGTGCACTGAACATATGTGCTATTTGTTCATGTCTTCTGTATACCTTATGTATATGATCTGGAGGTAATTTGGAACAGTGTTGATAATGTGCCTGTGTTTGGCTGTGCAGAAGTTTCCACTGAGGCATCGTGGTGGTGTTCAGAAAGTTTTGGAGTTTGGAGCGTTTCAGATTTCTAAATTAGGACTGCTTGTTTTGGGAAAGCAGTATGGAGAGGGTTTGTTTCCAGTCACAGTTGTAAGCCTCTGGTGTGCCTGGTTCCTAGCTGGGGTGGGGAGTGGGGGCTCCTTCTTATGCTTCTTGACTAACTTCTTTTTCATAAAAATTTGCCCCTCCCACATCCCAGAAGTTCTAGAAGAATCAGCTGAACAAGTACCTTGATTTGTTCCTTCCTAGTCTAGTGTTTTTGTGCTGACAGTAAAACCATAGATGCTAGAACTAGTCTCAGCAGGCGAAGGAAAAGGCCCTTCTCAATAGGCCAGAAACCTGGGGGGCCCGGGATGGTTACTAGCAAGTAAGAAAAGATTTATGTAGTTCTTTTCCGTGAGCGTGGCATGCGGTGGGTGCGTGGGCGGAAGTGTGAAGAGCACCAAAGCAGAAGAGCCAGTGTATCCAAGCCTTTTGAGCAGCACTGCATGCGGGCAGTCTGCTTTGAATAAACAAACGTGGATTCCTTTCTCAATTGTATAAATGCATGTGTTTCTGACTTCCTTAAAATATAAGCAGGGACATAATGAACCCTCTGATGAGCTGACTGAATCCTCCATTGTTTATCAGAAAGCACTGAGCACAGCTCCCTCCAGCTTATTCTAAACTCATGGCTCATCGTGAACTTTATAAGGTTTTGAAATACAAGGATTTTAAATGTGTGTGTGTGTGTGTGTGTGTGTGTGTGTGTGTGTGTGTGTGTGTATACACATACATATGTAACTGTTTTATATATTATATATATAATATGTAAAACCTATTAATAAAAAAAGTACTTAAGCACAATGAATTCCAAGGCACATGAGGAGAGGGTGTAGACAGCCCCTTCTCTGTCATAGCTTTCTGAGGACCAGCAGGCTAAGGGGGTTCGTTTGTCTGAGGTCACACGGGTGGGTGGAGCCATGAGTGAAAGCTAGAGTTTTGATCATAAGCTCCGCCTCTTCCCACTGCTCTTTTCTCACAGTTTTATCTGTTAGCATCAGAGCATTAAACATCATTTTGCTGGTTTTAAAATCGTGGCTAAATACTCATAACATAAAACAATCAAAATTTTAAAAATGGATGTACATAGAAAAAAAAATCAAAGGTGCCCAAAGGTTTATAGTGTGTTATCGGTTGCAACTCCTCTGCCTGGCTCCTTGAAGGGAGCCACTGTAAGAAGAGAGGCACTGGCCTAAGATGAGCTGAGCTCATCATGTCCTTCCATGAGTGGTAGCCTGCCAAGTTTAGGGAATGCCAAGCTGTAGAGTTGAGATTTGAGAGACTTCTGAATTAGAGTTGAAAATTACCCAAAGTCCAAATTATTTCCAGTAATAGAAGGGAGGGTGCTTGTGTTTGCTGTAGAGAATCTGCCTTTTGTTCCAGACAGCCAGCATGTAAAATGTTCATGTGTCACCATGACAAGGGACTGCATATCCACAGTTCAAAGTGAGAGCTACCTGCCACTGGGGTGAATCTGTCCTCCAGCTCTGAAACCCTTGGAGGAAGACACGTTGTACTTAACCATGTCGAGGGATGATAGTCCAGCCCCTCGGCAGGTTCTCACTCAGGGATGTGCGGTAGAGTTCTTGCTAGAGCACTTTTTTAAATATACAAGGATTTCAGGCCACTTTAGTGTCCTGTCTGATCCTGATTCTACTGGCTTAAACACTTACTAGAAGTTGAGATGAGTGGGCCTCTGCCCCAGCTTGGGGACTGAGTGAGCCCCAGAGCCCTTGAACCTTGGGCTAGTTTTAGTGTGTTTTCTGGGTGATTCTTGGATCAGTTCCAGATACTCTGCCCCAGACCTGTCTTCACTGTGACACAAACACCATGGGTAGCTCCACGGTAGCAAGATGACAACTGTGTTAACCATCATGCTCCTTGTTCCCCAATAGTGATGCTCCCAAGCTGACTTCTAAAGTGTTCCTGGCTTTAATCAACAGCAACTGTTAAAACACTGGTGTCGTAACGTGCGATGGAGCCATGGAATGGCCTTGGTGTATAATAGCTTACTAGTTTTTCCCCTTGACCAACATTCTGTTGTTTAAAACAGTTACTCAGAATTGAGAGAGTGTGTGTGTGTGTCAGTCAACTGTGTATCACTGCTATAAAATGCCTGAGATGTCAGCTTACGTGGCTCAACTTCCTTTGGCTCAGGGTTTCAGTCCATAGTTGGGTCACCTTTGTCTCTGTGGACCTGTCACACCATAGTACATCATGGGATGTTTATGTGATAGAGATAACCACTCACCTCACGGTGGCCAGGAAGTAAAAAAAGAGGCCCACATCCCAGTGTCCCCTTCAAGGACATGCCCCCAATGACCTTGCTTCCTCCAAGTATGTTCCCCCCCTCCCAGTAGCACCTTCCCTACACAGGCCTTCAGGGGACATTTCAGATCCCCTCTCTCCCCCGCTCTCTCCTCCACCTCCCTACCTCTTCGGTTTTTTTTTTGTTTGTTTGTTTGTTTTATTTGTTTTGAGACAGGGTTTCTCTGTGTATCCTTGGCTGTCTGTCCTGGAACTCACTCTGTAGACCAGGCTGGCCTCGAACTCACAGAGATCCACCTGCCTCTGCCTCCCATGTGCTGGGATTAAAGGCGTGTGCCACCACTGGTTAGATCCAAACCCTTTTAGCAGCAGGGTTAGAGGTGGAGTTTTGAGGATGGAGCCTTTGCTTGTCATTTGGTCAACACCCATGCTGTCTTCTCTGCAGACAGGAGCCAGGGCTTCAACCTTCTCAACTCGCTGGCTGGAGCAAACCGCAGCATTGCATCAGCAGAGAGCTGTCCCTCTGAGGTAAAGAACTCTCCGGGTCTCTGCTCCTCTTGACTTCAATATCCTTGATGTTATGGATCTTTACACATTCTTCGTCTTTTTAGTTTCCGTTTAAGAGGCAGCAGAGGAGAATTCAGGAGCTGAAAGGGGGCTCTAAAGTACCCCATTGTGCCTAACCCATGTCGAGGGAGTGATAGTCCAGCCCCTCGGCAGGTTCTCACTCAAGGGTGTGGGGTAGAGTTCTTGCTAGAGCACTTCTTTAAATATACAAGGATTTCCTTGCAGCATAATCTTGCTTTCAGATCTATGTGTAGAAAATAAAGATGAATCTTTTTCAATTCTTTTTCACCAAGGTCCCGAGTCAACCCTGAGTGAGCTGACGGTCTGTTTTCACCCTCTGTCCTCAGTAGCTCCATTCTGAGCTCACTTGGTCGGCCAGCCCATAGCATGTGTCTTAAATGATGCAAACCAAACATGTTTCAGTAGCATGGAGCAAAATCCTAACGTTTCGTAGTTTTTCCTTGAGGGAAGCAGCAGCTGGGACAGCGGCTTCGCAGCCTTTCGCGTTCGCATGTGACCCCGTTCCTGTCTGTTTCCTCCTCGGGTTCTGTTGCTGCCTCTCCATGGCTAGCTGGGGTGGGAGGAGCCAACTTGAGGGCTGTTCACTGAAGTTGTTTCCTGTTAAGTCGTTGCTTCTGTGTACTTCCCCAGCAGCAGGCCCCGTTGCCGGCAGCCGAGAGGCTGGAGTCCCTTCCCGGCCATCGTGGTGGTGCATGTGGCTCAGCAGGGGCACAGGCTGACAGCATCGTGGGTAAGTTCCTCCACGAGCCTCCCAGAGGTAACGGCAGGGCTCAGAGTAGACACCGGGACAGCAAACACTGAGGGGAGAACTGACCTTTAACCTGGAGAGGAAAATGAACAGCATACCCACAGGAGCCCCTGTGACTGTCCACTCAGTTAGCTCTGTAGCTGTCACTCCCAATCTGACGTTCAGATGGCCACCTGTGACCTCTGTGCACTAACTCCAGCAGCCCCCCCACCCTGACTCTGTGCACTAACTCCAGCAGCCCCCCCCTCACCCTGACTCTGTGCACTAACTCCAGCAGCCCCACCCTCACCCTGACTCTGTGCACTAACTCCAGCAGCCCCCCCACACCCTGACTCTGCACTAACTCCAGCAGCCCCCCCCCCTCACCCTGACTCTGCACTAACTCCAGCAGCCCCCCCCACCCTGACTCTGTGCACTAACTCCAGCAGCCCCCCCCACCCTGACTCTGCACTAACTCCAGCAGCCCCCCCCTCACCCTGACTCTGTGCACTAACTCCAGCAGCCCCCCCCTCACCCTGACTCTGCACTAACTCCAGCAGCCCCCCCCCGACTCTGCACTAACTCCAGCAGCCCCCCCCCCCACCCTGACTCTGTGCACTAACTCCAGCAGCCCCCCCCTCACCCTGACTCTGCACTAACTCCAGCAGCCCCCCCTCACCCTGACTCTCTGCACTAACTCCAGCAGCCCCCCCACCCTGACTCTGTGCACTAACTCCAGCAGCCCCACCCTCACCCTGACTCTGTGCACTAACTCCAGCAGCCCCCCCCACCCTGACTCTGTGCACTAACTCCAGCAGCCCCACCCTCACCCTGACTCTGTGCACTAACTCCAGCAGCCCCCCCCGACTCTGTGCACTAACTCCAGCAGCCCCCCCCGACTCTGTGCACTAACTCCAGCAGCCCCCCCGACTCTGTGCACTAACTCCAGCAGCCCCCCCCGACTCTGTGCACTAACTCCAGCAGCCCCCCCCACCCTGACTCTGTGCACTAACTCCAGCAGCCCCCCCCACCCTGACTCTGTGCACTAACTCCAGCAGCCCCCCCCGACTCTGTGCACTAACTCCAGCAGCCCCCCCCCACCCTGACTCTGTGCACTAACTCCAGCAGCCCCCCCACCCTGACTCTGCACTAACTCCAGCAGCCCCCCCTCACCCTGACTCTGTGCACTAACTCCAGCAGCCCCCCCCACCCTGACTCTGTGCACTAACTCCAGCAGCCCCCCCCCACCCTGACTCTGCACTAACTCCAGCAGCCCCCCCCACCCTGACTCTGTGCACTAACTCCAGCAGCCCCCCCCACCCTGACTCTGTGCACTAACTCCAGCAGCCCCCCCCTCACCCTGACTGCACTAACTCCAGCAGCCCCCCCCTCACCCTGACTCTGCACTAACTCCAGCAGCCCCCCCCTCACCCTGACTCTGTGCACTAACTCCAGCAGCCCCCCCCACCCTGACTCTGTGCACTAACTCCAGCAGCCCCCCCCACCCTGACTCTGTGCACTAACTCCAGCAGCCCCCCCACCCTGACTCTGTGCACTAACTCCAGCAGCCCCCCCCCACCCTGACTCTGCACTAACTCCAGCAGCCCCCCCTCACCCTGACTCTGTGCACTAACTCCAGCAGCCCCCCCCCGACTCTGTGCACTAACTCCAGCAGCCCCCCCCCACCCTGACTCTGTGCACTAACTCCAGCAGCCCCCCCCTCACCCTGACTCTGTGCACTAACTCCAGCAGCCCCCCCTACCCTGACTCTGTGCACTAACTCCAGCAACCCCCCCCCTCACCCTGACTCTGCACTAACTCCAGCAGCCCCCCCCTCACCCTGACTCTGTGCACTAACTCCAGCAGCCTTCAGGACTGTGGACAGGGCCTCACTGACTCGGCATCTTCTCTTCACTCACCAACAGTGTCTCCTGGCTTTCCTCCTGCGTGTCTTTACGAGATTGCTCTCTTTTCCCAAACTTGAAATACTGCGTCTTCAGCGCTCCATCCAAATTCCTCTTTTTAACACGTTTTCAAAGCACAAAGGGACTCTGTCCTTGTCTCAGTTACCATCTCTGTGTACAGGTAAATCAGGAATGTCTTCTTTGGCTCTGTACACCAACTGCCTGCCTGATGTGCACTGAACAAGACACACTTAGGACCCCAGCTGCACTTAAACAAATTGTATGGCAGTGTGGTAAATGAAAAGGATTATAAATCACCATTCTTGTCTTCAAAGAGTTAATAGACAGGTGTGTAGAGGTAGAACTTGTGATGGTCAAGGCTGTGGACATTAGAGAACCATACAATTGGGTTCAAGTCAAGGCTGTACCTCTAGCAGTGATACAGCCTTGAGTAGATGATTTCACCTCAGTGGTCTGAGTTTCTGCCTCTGTCAAGCAGGAGTAAGCCATCTGCCCCCTGGGATGTTGTAAAGTGGAAATACATCCTGGTAGGTTAAAGTATTCCATTTCAGTAGTGCAGTTCAGTGGTAGAGTGCTTACCAGGCATGTGCAAGGCTCTGGGTTTGATCCCTGGTGCTCCAAAAATGGTGGTAGTGCTGGGCGGTGGTGGTGCATGCCTTTAATCCCAACACTCGGGAGGCAGAGGCAGGCAGATCTCTGTGAGTTCAAGGCCAACCTGGTCTACAAAGTGAGATACAGAATAGCCAGGACTGTTACTCAGAAAAACCCTGTCTTGAAAAAAAAAAAAAAAAAAGTGGTGAGGAGGCAAAGGGAAGGGAGAACAGGTAAGAAGAACAATGGATGGAAAGGAAAGGGAATAGACAGAGCAATGGATGGAAGGGAAGGGGATAGACAGAGCAATGGATAGAAGGGAAGGGGAATGGATGGATAGAGTGATAAATGTAAAAGAAGAGGAATGGATGGACAGAGCAATGGATGTAAGGGAAGGAGAATGGATAGACAGAGCAATGGATGGAAGGGAAGGGGAATGGATGGATAGAGTGATAGATATAAAGGAAGGGGAATGGATGGACAAAGAGATGGACGTAAGGTAAAGAGGAATAGATGAACAGAATGATGGACATAAGGGAAGGGGAAATGGATGGACAGAGCAGGGATATAAGGAAAGGGGGAATGGATGGACAGAGATGTAGAAAGCGAGCCTCTCTCAGTACTGAGTGTGATCACTGCAGCAGTGTGGAAAATGTTAGAAAACCAAGGAGCCCACACAAGTGCTGCCTCAGCTCTGCCAACAGTGCAGAGGCTGAGGATGGAGCCCTGGGCACTGGACAGTCAGGGAAGCCACTGTCACTGTGATAAAGAAGTGATATGAGGGGGCTGGAAGGATGACTGAGCAGTTGAGAGTGTACTGCTCTTACAGAGGACCCAAGTTTGATTCCCAGCACCCACATCTGAAGGAGGCTCACAACCACTTAACGCCAGCTGCAGGAGATCTGAGGCCCTCTTCTGGTCTCTGCCAGCACCTGCATTCACATTCACACATGTATATATGCATAATTAAAGTAAATCTTTTTATATTTTAAGTAATGTGCTGAGGTAGAAATGGCGAAGGATTTGTATTAAGAATGTAGTAAGAAAACATGATTCAAAACAGCTCCACCTCTGGCATTTAAGTGAGTTCATTTTTAAAGGTTGTTTTGGTTTTCGTCTACAAGTTGTAGACAATGATGATTGTTCTAATAGGCTTAGGTGTGGCCATTGTAATAGTGGATGTGGCCATGGTCATACTGGTCCCTGCTGAGTGTGTAGGAGGGGGAGGGTTCCTTTCAGAGCAAGTTGCTGGAGCAAGTCACATCTCTAAATGGAAGCAGTGTCCTCTACCTCATCCCAGTGCTGTGAGGATGAAAAGTGAGCCTCCAGCAGCCCAATAGGCCTCTGCACAGCCCGTGAAGCCGGCGCCTGTCCACACGAGAGCCAGGGCTGCCTGTACCAAGCACGTATATCAGTGATGTGTGGCCAACTCTGGTTTCAGATCCCATGTTAGACCTGGATATTCAAGAACTAGCAAGTCTCACCACTGGAGGAGGAGATCTGGAGAACTTCGAGAGGCTCTTTTCAAAGTTGAAGGAAATGAAAGGTAATTATCGGCATGTCTCAATCCTCTCGTGTTGGTGCTTTGCTAGTTTATGTGGTCGCGTCTCACTTTGTAATGGCTAGATTGGATTCAGAGCTCTGGGCTTGAGAAATTTAGCTGCTTAGGAGATTGGACCATTTGATTGGTAAAAATTCCCTGGGGAAAGATTTCCTGTCTTGATTCTCTTCCCCTTCACTTTCCCTCCTTCTGAAGTGTATCTCTCTCTCAGTGAGTCTCATTATCACAGCATCTGTCAAATTCCCACCATTTCACTCACATCCCATCTGGAAAATTTGGGAGACTCAAGCTTCCTAATGGCTGTAATGACTATACCATGAGCATATGTCTTAGAAACCCATCTACCATCTTCAAGTGTTAGCACACCCATGCACTCCAGATCCTCCTGTGCTATTAGACAAATTTCTTAAGATATATTTTCCCCCTAGACAAGGCTGCGACGCTTCCTCATGAGCAAAGAAAGCTGCATGCAGAAAAGGTGAGAAGACCCAGCAGGTATTTACCATCTACAGTAGGTCTTACCTGGGACTTGGGTGGCCACAGGGCCTTAGTGTGAGTGTTGCACTAGATATTATAGCCAGCTGAATGTTTATCTGTGCAATAGTAACACAGATGCTGTAGTTAAACTGAGATAGTGGCGGTGTATGTCACGTGACATGGAACCTTCACCGGCCTCATGATGCTTGCCTTCCTCTTAGGCTGGAAAACTCTCAGCTGTTTTGTTTTGTTATTACCAAAGCAACACGTTTTTGGCAGGAAACGGACAGGATTGGTGACATCTCATTAACTGTGTCATCATTTATTTACTCAGCTCCATTCTGGACATCGAGGCCAACTGCGTGCTCAGGTTTTTGCTTCTGTCAGCAATGAAGCTGGGCTTATCCCCACTGTTCACACTCGTGTGCAGCCGTGATCACAAGCTTAGCACACGTCCAGCAATAGATGTCTGGGTCAAAGGCTGTCTAGGGATTGTAATGTGTGTTGTTGGAAGGCAAAGGTGTATTATTGTAGACCCCAGTCAGTTCAGGTGTGGCATGTGCATGAGCTGAAGGTTCACTGTTAACCTGAAACTTGTCGCTCCATAGGTGGCCAAAGCCTTCTGGATGGCAATAGGAGGAGACCGCGACGAGATCGAAGGCCTTTCTTCGGATGAAGAGCACTGAATTCTTCCGCTAGCTGTGACTGGCGCTGACGCCAGCCCTGTGCACTCAAGTGCTTCCCTTCTCAACCAGGTTCTGCTATGCCAAGATACTGGCCACCTGACTGGTTTGGGGTCCCCTTAACTGGGCTTTTAGAAAGGAACGAGGGAGAAATCTTTGCTGCTGGGGCATCAGGGAAGGAGGAGTGAAATGACAGTATGGAGACATCTTCAGATCTACGTTCGTCGTTTTAAGAACCAGGGTAGAATGAGTCTTAGAGGTCTGTGGTACAGGAGAACCAGGTGTCCTAGAGCACACTGTGATCCCAGCACATGGGGGGCTGAGGCCAACCTGGGCTCCATAAGGAGGCCGGCTTCTGTGCTGAATCACCAGCATTCACACTGGCTGAAGGTCGAGAGTTGATGCTGTTTCCGGTGTATTTTCCCTGGTCCCCACTAAGAGCAAGGCTCTGACCTGAGATGGATGTTGTGGAGAAAGAAAGGAGGCAGCTGTAGCTCTAATGTGTACCTGGTGAGTAGGGGACAGGTGGCTCATGGGTTTGTCTCTAAGCAAGTCCTTAAGGACATTTTAAGGTCACTGTCTGAGTTCCTGCCACAAAGAAGTAAAAGTCAGGTGTGTATAAGAAACAGGCGTACGTTTCCTCCTCTGGGGAGGGTAAACCGCCCATCTCCCCAGCTGCAGGGCAGGGGCCCTGAGTGCAGCCGTGTGCAGGCCCAAGGAGCTGCCACGCTGGCAGGAGTGCTCTTCTGACCAAGCACTTTCCCGGCCACTGGGGAGTTCCGAGCTGTGCCGTAGCACTTTCTGCCCTGAAATCAGGACAAGTGCCCCTTCCTTCTGCCTGAAATCAAGACAGGTGCCCCTTCCTTCGGCCTGAAATCAAGACAGGTGCCCCTTCCTTCGGCCTGCAATCAAGACAGGTGCCCCTTCCTTCGGCCTGCAATCAAGACAGGTGCCCCTTCCTTCTGCTTGGAAGCCGGAGAAGCGGGGGAAAGCTGAGCCGTCGAACAACCAGGGCCCGAGCCACCACCACCGTGGTTTACTCCCAGGGCTGTTGGCCCCCTGCATTCCTCCTGTGTTGTGTCTGAGTGCTCCCCAGGGGAGCACAAAGCAAAGCTTTAAAGGAAGAGAGGAGAGTCCAGCAAATAAAGGTCCTTATTCTATCTTCATAGGTGCGGCCATGACAGATGGTGCCCATCAGGGGCTGAGAACTGGTCCTGACAAGGCTCACCTGCCCTGGGTACCACTTATTAGGACCTGAAACATGCTTGGCCAGGCCAGAACCACCACAGGGAGGAGACGCGTGCGCGCGCGCGCACACACAAACACACACTGATCTTGCAATCTTTGAGCTTGGGTTTACCACTCTCCCTTCAGTAGGACTGATATTTTGAAGTGAATGCATTAGCCATGGTTAAGAAGGAAAATTAGGGAAGTTGGCTCTGGGTTGCCAGGAAGGCAGACATGTTTTTCTTTTTTTTTCTTTTTTTTTTTTTTTTTTGGTTTTTCGAGACAGGGTTTCTCTGTGTAGCTTTGCGCCTTTCCTGGAACTCACTTGGTAGCCCAGACTGGCCTCGAACTCACAGAGATCCACCTACCTCTGCCTCCCGAGTGCTGGGATTAAAGGCGTGCGCCACCACCGCCCGGCCAGACATGTTTTTCTTAAAACATGGAAGAGTTTAGAAAATGGAGGCCACATGATTAAGGAAAAATAGACTAGAAAAGGTTGTTTTTGATTTTGCTGACTAAACAAAGCCAGGTAATTAAAAGACGATTTATTTATAAAGTCTGCTAATGTGTATTGTTATGTTTGGGAGAAGGGTGTGAGTTGGGGGAGGCCTGGTGTCCTTTGTAGTAGGCATACAAAGAGTCTGAAGTGTTTGTCAGTGTAAGGGTCTAGGTCTTTGCCTGTGTGTGATGTCTGCTCCGACATCTGAGACCCCAGCTGACTCTAAGGGCTGTTGGCTCTTGGTGGGGACTGTGAGGGTCAGAGTATCTGCTGATGGCTCAGAGTTTCTGAGCTGGTGCTATGGTAGCAGCTGCTGTCTTCTAGTATGCCCGTGCTCCTAACATGCAGAGCGGACTGAAGGTGAGAGGCTGGCTGTCTTAAATACCTTGCATTTCTATACCAGTGCTGGGTACGTAGTAGGCCCACAGTTTTCATTGGCAGGTATGGTCTGCCTGGTGGAAACGATCACAGTCTGATGATCCATGAGTTCTGGAAACTAGAGAGAGACAATCAAATTTTTCTTCCCTGAGACAACCATGTTATGTAATAATTGCAAAGTGATGAAGGCATGGCTATTTTTGTAACTTTAAAATATGGCAGAGTATGAGAAGGTTGACAGAACCAACTGGCTTGCTCTCTATTTATAGAACTTGGCCACATCTGATCCAGAGAGACTGAAGATTGGGGGAAGCTGGGCTCATTTAGATGGTTGAGTAATGCAGGATGTGGTTCAAGGATCACAGAGTGTACACCAGGCCTTTCCTGAGAACCGCTCATACACGAGGAAGATGTGTCCAGTGTCACCTCTGTGGAGAGCTGGGGAAAACATCCCAAGGCTTGTCATGTTCCTTGGGATCATCTTTTTTAAATTTATTTTTATTTTGTGGATAAGGGTGTTCTGCCATTTTGCCTGCATGTATGTCTGTGTACCATATGTATACAGTGCCTGTGGAGGCCAGAAGAGTGCAATAGATCATCTGGGACTGGAGTTACAGATGGCTGTGAGCTGCCATGTGGGTGCTGGGAACAGAACCCAGGTCCTCTGGAAGGGGAGCCAGTGCTCTTGGGATGGTCTCTTAACAATGACCATTGAGTGAACACGAGGCATGCCTCTTGTCCTGTTGTGGCGTGCTGTAGCAAGCAGGAGAATCATGGTGGAAGGGAAAATGTGGGCTCTGGGGACTGTTTTGAGTGTGGGTATTTGCTACTGCAAAGCTAAATTTAACAAATGTATCTAGAATGGTCAGGGGTTCTGGTTCATTAGTGCTCTGCTTGAAGGAGGCTTCAGCAGATGTTCTGATGACCCAGATTTTCTTGTCACATACCCAACTACAAGGGACAATTGAGTATTAGATCATTATCAAATAGCATCAGAGGCCTACAGGGAGAGAAAATGCAAACATCTTCTCCAGGGTACTGAACCAGGATGGGCCTAAGGGCTACTCAGTCTCTGCTCAGCTCTGCTAGGGTTTGCGCAGTGACCCACCCCACACCTCAGGAACACACACTCTACTCAGTCTCTGCTCAGCTCTGCTAGGGTTTGCAGTGGCCCACCCCGCACCTCTGGAACACACACTCTTGAGTCTCATGTTCCCCAAGTCTGCTCTGTGTCCTTACTAGGAGTGAAGCAGGTTCCAGTGTCAAGAGAGGTATCTTGCTTGGTTCTGGATTGTTCCTCCGATATGTGGAATGAACTGTTAACCAAAGAACCAACGGGCAGTCGTGTGCACCTTTCCTCAGAATGTTGGGGAGCCCCACTCCTGTGCCCTAGTGACTGAATGGTTCTACTCCCCCCTGCCTTTTTTTAGAAAAGTACAGATTCAAAGTCTGGCCCTGAAATTATTACTGTATCTTTGGAACACAAGCTTGCTTGGTGTGTGTGGTGGTCGTGGACCTAAAGCCTTTTGTGTGTCCTTACCTTTATTTATATGTTTGTACATGTGGGTGCCACTTTGTGTATGTGGAGGTCAGAGGACAACTTGAAGGAGTTTGCTCTCTCCTTCCACCATGTACGTTCTTGAGACTTGAACTCAGGTCATCAGACTTGACAGCAAACACCTTGACCCACTGAGCCATCTTGCCAGCCCATTTTTTTTGGGTTATGTTTTTGAGATGGAGCTTTGGCATGTGGCTCAGACTGGCCTTGCACTCTCCATCCCCTTGCCTCAGGCTCCTGAGAGCTGGGACGACAAGTGTACAGCACTCACGTATGCACTATTGGTGGCTCACATACCCCTTCCTGTGCCACCAAGAACCTGAGCAGCAGAGGTCATGTGAAGACACTCCGGCTCAGCTTGCTAACCAGGATCCTTCTTGCTGTTCTTGGGAAAGAAGTGGCCATCATTGCCTTTGTCTTCTCTTACCAACTGGATGGCTTTAATGCTACAAAGATGTGGCTCATTAATGCCCAGGTTCTGTGCTTTATGAGATTAACAGTGTTAGTTGGAAGAGACATTGATTTAACCTGAAGTTCAAAGACATGGACTGTATCAGTGGCCCATCCCTGGAAATCTCCAGGCATGCATCAATAGAGTTTGGTGACCTCAAACTTGTTTTTCTGCCCTGCTGAGGCTGAAACAAAGACTCAGGAACCAGCCAGCATGGCCTGGAACTCTGTTGGTGCCAGAATCAGAATGAGCAAGGCAGAGGAGTCAGTCTTCAGGATGAAGTCTCTTTTCTCCTGGAGCTCAGAGGTAAGCAAGACGAGGTCACAGGTGACAGAAGGCCGAGCAGAATGGATAGAGGGTTGCAGGCAGGCTGCACCACAGTGCTTTCCAAATGTGAGCCCATTCAGAATACTGACATCTCTGGGATGTGCTTTGAGAATCAGGAAAGTAATGCTGCACTCTAGCTAAAAGGAATAAAGAGTCTGGGCACACAGGTAAGTGGGGACATGGAAATTCTTACAGTAAGTCATTGACATGAACAGAGTATGTATAGAAATGAGAACCCAGGCAAGTACACTGGCAAGGCCTGGGACAGTCCCATCAGAAAAATGGTGGTTATAAAGGTGATGGCAGAGAAGAGTCCACCTGTACCAGAGGGACTGAGATGCCACAGGCTGTGGGCAGAAAGGGTCTCCACTCATGTGTATACTCCAAGAAGGCCTGGCAGCAACCTTGTCCACACATATCTAGTCAGCTGCACTGAGGGGATTCTCTGGCTGCCTGGGCTCAGCGCCATGACTAAGGATGGCTGCTGTAGATAGAGATATGGGGTAGTAGGCATTTTGTCACATGCTTATCCCTGGGACTAGAGGGAGACAAATTAGGATTTGGGGACAGCTGTAATAGCAAGTGACCTGGAACTGGATTTTGGTCTTTGCTTTAGTTACACAAAAGACTCGCATTGAAGTAGCACCGTGGAAAGATTGAGAAGGCGCAGCACTAAGGCAGAACCCCAGATAGGACACTGGCTGGTACACGTGGGCCACGGGAAGTCAGAGGTGTAAGACTCCTACAAAGGCCTGTGCTCAGGGGACTTAGCACCTGCAAGGGATGATCGACACAGGTAACAGTGTGAAGGAGACTGGAGGCAAATACCCGAGAACCTTACTGGAAGAGGGCTGAACTGAGCTGCAGAGCTCTGCGCAGAGTGCTGGCTTGGTGGTGTGGGTCAGAGCAGCTTGGAGCACAGGTAGAAGGTGTGGGGAAGAGCAGCAGCCCAGGCAGGCCTGGGGACAGGCCCCACCGCTGCACTGGAGAGTAGAGAGCTGAGCAGGAACAGAAGGCGGCCAGGGAGTCCATGGGATGACCTTAGTACTGCTGTGCACTGAGGGCAGTGTGGTAGTCTGGGTTTGAATGCTGCCCTTGACGCCCCACGTGTTAAAGGTTGTTCCCAGCTCATGGCACTATTGGGAACCGGAAGAACCTGTGAGGTAGGCCTGATCCCACAGTCACGGAGGCCATGTTTCTCTCTCTGCCGCCTTCCGTTACAGGCCCACGGCAGCGGGGACAAATGACCACGGGTTGAAAGGCCTGAGACCATGAGCCAAAACAAACCTCCTCTCTTCCTAAGCTGCTGCTTTCAGGTATTTCATTATAGTGACAGTTCCGCCTAACACAGGCTGTGTGAACTGTTAAAGCAGGCTGGAGCCCAGAGTCGGGATGCTGTGACAGGGTCTGGGTGCTGGAAAAGCTGGTGTGTAGGACGGTGAGAGCCAAGACTGGGGAGACTCGAGAGGAAGTGGAGGTACGGAGCTATGGACAAAGGTGACTTGTCAGTTTTCAGGGTGATAGTCTGCAAAGGAGAATAATAATTTCTGTGATTCTGTCTTCTGACTTGTGAGCATGAGCAGTTGATGGACCAGCAGACCTTTGTCCCCAAGGTGGAAGCTCAGGGCTGATACAGGAGTCACTAGCATTTATGTGGCTGGAAACCACATATGTGGCTGAGGGTTGATGAACTCATTATGGAGACTCTTAAGCGCACACATGTAGTCGGGGAACACCAGACCACAAAGGAGATGCAGGCTCAGGAAAAAGGCAGATCCAAGTAGAATGAGCAGGCTCAGGGGGCAGGGCCTTTCCAAAATGTGTGTGTGTGGGGGGGGGGGGGGGGTTGCTCAGCTAGAGCCTCAGCAAGGGGAGGGATGGGGAAAAGGAACACGGAGCTGCTGAGGGGCTGAATGATGGCAGAGGTGGCCCCATGAGTCATTCCTCACAGATCACTATAATAAAGTGCAGATTGGGGTCCAGATCTGGAGGGAGTTGGGGGGATGAGCATGAGGGTGGAAGAATGGACCAGGGAATACCCCTGGGGTGGGAATTTGAGGTGGCTTGTGGAGGCCTGCCTAAGTGGCTCCTTCCTGAACAAGAGGTCCTTAGGACAGGTGGAGGGGCCCCCTGAAGGATGGGGAGCCATCTCTGACCTGGTTCTGCTTTGTTCTTTGGTACATCTCCTGCGGTTGTTGGAAAATTTCAGTAGGAATAGAACTCTTGTTCTGAATTCAGAATGGCATTTCCGGAGTTACAAGGTTTCTTGTAATTCTTGTGTGTCCCTGCGAAGATGTATTGGCGTGGGGGACACAGTGACAGAATGGCAGGAGACAGCTGGGGAGGCCCAGGTAGTGGCCTGCAGTCACTTGCCAAAGGCCTTGGTGCACAGGGGGAATAAATGGGGGGGGGTCCAGAGTATGTATCTGTGGGACCCAGGGACCCCTGCTGGTCCTGTGTGGTGCCCTTGGAGAGGACTGGAGGGCAGGTATTACTGGAAGACCATGCAGTGGGGCCAGGCACAGTGTTGTGTTATTAGTAGCACTTGCTGAGCTGACACCCCCAGGACCTCCCTGGGGCTCCCTATTAAACCCCTTTACCCAGAGCCACAGCAGAAGTCAGACTGCGCTCCTGGCCCAGGAGCCTTACAGTGAAAAGTTTATTAGAAGGGCGCATATAAGAAGAGGGGACACGGCTCTTTAACATTGGGGTACAAGGCTGTAAGATACAAAAGTTAGAAAAATCTAAAACACTATAAATACATGCTTTTTACAAAGATACTAAAGGCCTGGATGGCTGAATAGCGACAGTAACGTCAGCCTCCAGGCATCCCCAAACAAGAGTCCACACCAGCCCACTTGCCCTGGCAACAGCAAAGGCTTCTGGGATAAAGATGGCTCCAATTTCTATGTGAGGTTTTCACTCCCAGAAGGGAGGGGCCTTGGTGCAGAGGACATGCTGTGGAAGGGCCTGGGCTTGACTAGCGTGGCCTGTTTGCGCACGCCGCTCCTTGTTGACCCAGTCTGGTCTGATGTTTGTAGAGCCGGAGCCAAGAAAGCCACTGCAGCCTCCATCAGTGTTCGGGACTGGCTGTGCCCCAGCCCTGCCCAGTCACTGTCCTTCGGGGACAGACCTTTACAACTGTCCTTAAGAAATTAAATAGTCATCCATCTGAACGGTTTGAAGGGATTGTTACATAAATATGAAAACAGCAGAATGCTAACCATCACTTTTGTGTTAGCACGAGCCAGCTGTAGGGGCTGTTTCGAAGGTGGTAGCCATGCACCAACATGTTCCTCTCTATCCAGTGCCTCCTGTCAACAATGCCACATCTTCATGGTTGACCCACATCCTGGTGTGTGGCTTTCTACCCACTTGGGAAGTTGCTGTACACTGTGAAGACCATTGCTTAAAGAGGCCAGTGATGGAACCCTGATGCCACTCAGACAATACAGTGCAGGTCCCTTCTAATGTACCGGGCACACACATTAGCCACTTAGTCACATAGTAAGAAACACAGTGCAGAGCTGTAGCTGTGACCTTCTGGTACAGGCACCTTTTCAGCCTCTCAGGGACTTTAAAAAAAAAACAAAAAACTCAAATGGCAGCTTGGGGCTAAGAATGAAGTCAGATATTTGCCTCTGCCCCAGACAACTCAGGCACATGCGTGACCGCACACGCTACTTAAAGAAAACCTTTCTGTGGTTTGAGTAAAAACATCAAGCCCTGGAATATGTCCCAGCTCTGAGAAGCGAGCGGAGGAAGAGCAAGACCACAGTACCCCATAAGCACTGCGGCTCCTACATTAACGAGTAAAAAAAGTGTCAGACATTAAAATAATACAACACTCTCAGGACAGTGGAGAAGTCTGCCAGCAGCCTCGCCCTCCTCACGATCTTCCTAAGAGAGTCCCCGCTCTCCACTCCAGGCTTTCTCCAGATGCCAGGTCTTCTACAGGCCTCCTGGAAGGTGGCCAGCTGCGATGACATGCCAGCACAGGCCTGTAATCCACACGGCTGGGCCACCTGTACACGCACTAAATTAAGTTGGGGAGGAGAGGGGTACAAAGTTAGCTTCTCTGAGGTGCTGAAGACGAGGATCTCTGCCCAGCACCAGCCATGTGGGTCAGTGTCAGCAGAAGCCCGAAGCCGGCATGGTACCCACAGTCAGGTCACACTTTCCAAAGGCCACAGCAGCAGCAGCTGCTTTCCTGTGGACCTCCAACTGTTCTTTAGAAGTAGAAATGCTGTGCATACAAGACGGAAAACTAAGGGACACTTAGATTACATGTACCCAAAGGACCTGTGTTCTCAACGATGGAGTGGCATTTTCTAGATTCTAAGCCTTTTATTTTCAGGGATGCCGAGAGGACCTGCCTAGAATTTCCTTGGACATCCTTCTCCAGCAACTGGCCAATAAAGCAAGAGGGCCAAGGAAGTAACCTTTGGCAAGAAGAAAAAAAGATCCTCTCAACTTTGTGCCTCCCAGGAGCAGCTACTGGAGTAGCCATCATACAGAACAGGCTGTGGGATGACTCCATTTGTGCTGTGTAGAGCTCTTCTCCAGGCACCTAGAGGATGACGATGGGCCACAGGAAGCCCCAAGGAAACTGGGCAGCAAGTGGACAAGGCAGATCCCCACAAACGGCTGCCCCTGGCTTCAGTAAAAGCCACATCAGAACATCCTTGAGCGGGGCCTGACTCATGGGTGACATATAGTCAGTTCGAAGGACTTCCTGTGTCTGAAGCGGCAGTCCACAGACCGTTTCAAGCCTGGCACAATGTTCTCACCCACTGTCTATGCCCTCTCAGAGGATGGGAGGCATTCAGAACTGTCTTTGGGTTCTGTAGCAACAGCCTGGGGGCTCATAGATGCTCATAGACTTCTTGTGTCTGAAGGAAGCTTGGGGAACAGCATGCCTAGCTGGAAAGATCCTGCTCAGAGCTTCAGAGGCCACAGGATCCTGCAGGAGACACCAGAATGTGCCTAGAGTCTCTGGAGCATCAGAAGATTCATCACATTGGAGGGTGCACCTTCTTCCCTCTGGAACAGGACAGGACTTCCACAGGAAATCCAGGAAAAACGTCCGACAGTCATTTTACAACGAACAGCGGCCAAGAAGACAGTACCAATCGCAGGTGGGATCCTGTGTGCTGTGTTCTAGAAGAGCTGGGAAAGGGACTTTCCTTCTTCCAGTTGATATAATTTATACTCATTTTCTCTGTAATTGCCACTGGGAACGGTGCTCATTACACAGTATCGCTGCGGCAGTTTTCGGTAGCAGGCCTTTACCAAAGCTGGGTGAAGATGGCAGGCCTCTCGGCACCAAGGTGTACAAATGGTGATAGCCCTTTTCATCTGCCCATGTCGGCCTGGGAGGTCTTACCTTCAGGTGAATTGGCTTCTCTAGATCTCAACTTTGAAACCTCAGAGGAAGCAGCAGTCGCTGGGTCCATGCTGGTCTTCCAGCCAATGGATGTAACCAGGATTGTTTTTATAAAACAGAAGACATTTCAAAGAGCCTCTTCTAGGTGAATTCATTAATGCAACTGGCTCCATAAACCAACAGCATATGCATCAGAATATGGTGCCAACTCTCAGAGAAACATTCAGTATGGCGCCACCTCACCCGGACATGCACTCCACCATTGCCCCTTCTGCTTTCTGTCAATACTTGGACAACATCTGTATCTCTTTGAGAGTAATATGATAATAAGAACTATACATCCCACACACGCTGAGCTTCAGCAGGTCCTTCCAAGAAGGGACAACGAAGAAATGGCTCTCACCAGCTTTACCCACTGACATGTTCCTCTCTGCATTCTGGGGGTGGGGAAAGTGCCAGTGTAGGCCATCTAGTTCACCAGGTACACCCTCTCCATGGAAGTGGTGGGACAGGGCATGCGCCATTGAAGTTTTATCCAAAGCTACAGAAAGCTAGGACCCTCTCCCAGAGGTACACTCCAGCCCTTGACAAAGGCACTTTGCTTTTAGATCTCTGTCATTAGACAAGGAGTCGGGTGGTGATGCCACCAGATCAGAAGCCACTCTTGGGCCTCAAACGGGGGTGCATGTATGCAGCAACACAGCTGTTCACAAAATCACCCCGGGATTTTTCTTGTTCTTTGTGGTTTCAGAAACAGGTTGGTGCCTTAGTTGAGAGAAATTTGTTGTCTTCTTTGACAAGAACAAGTTGGGTGGAGTTCTCTTCCAAGGCCATTCTCCCCAAGCCCACCCTCCCCCACCCACTCCCCCACTCACTCCCAGTATCTCTAAGACACACTGGAACAGCGGATGCTTGGAGAGCCCATTTGGGTGAGGACCTTGTCAAGCCACTGCAAAGGTCCATTCAGGTGCAGCTCGATCCAGCAAGGGGTACTGGTCACTGTCTGTCTCCTGCAGAAAGAGGGAAGGGGTGGGAGACTTGAAAATGTCTAGAACACCCATGTAAGTCAGAACACCGCTTCCTGCCACCTCAGGCCAGAGATCTCTTCATGTTAGACACCACCTAGAGATGTACTGGTAATGGAACCCAACCAGGCCACATTCTGCCAACCAAGGAGAGCTTTGAGTAAGTCAGGGCCTGCTGGAGGGAGAGGACCTCACAGAGTTAAAGAAGGTCAGTTTCCAGGGACTGTGACAAGCTCCCATGTATGCCCTCCTGCCTGGATGAAGGTCTCCCTGGCTCCCAGCTATGCCACTGGGTAGGTACCTACAGCCCCTCTCTAGATCTGGGCTAGCTCCCACAGTTAGCATGACATGTCTGTCTGATGGAGGGTGTTTTTTCAAAGCACTGACAGAGCCCACATGCTTCAGGTCCCAGTGTGCTGCTATAATCCCATCTACAGCTTATTTTGGAAAATCTTACCAGCAGAGCTAGCCGGGGAACAATTACTGGAAAAACCAAGGCACACCACACATTTCTTTTCCTCCAAAGCACTGTCTAAATTCAGACTACTTGGTGACGCAGCTTGCAGGCAAGCTCCCAGAAGCCTCTAGTGAGCAAAGGCTATCTGCTGTGGTGACATGCGGGTGCCAGCTGGAGGCCAGGCCTGGGCCTGGGCCCACTTACAGCTGCCTTAGAAAACCAGCCTGAAACCTTACTCTGTTTGGCCCACAATGCAGGAGGGCATGGCTGTTCTGGGAAGGGGCCGCACCCGCCACTAGGCTGCTGTGCCACGCTGCCAGGCGGCAGTGACGCAGTGAGCTGTGGAGGACGGGGTGTGCTGGCAGGGTGTCCTGCATGGGGATACAGTGCCTCAGATGTGTTGACTTCTGCCAGCACACCCAGGGCCATGAGCCTGAGGGTCACCCTCCTTGATCAGCATGTGCTTTGCCTGAATAGTTAAGGAGGTTCACACCCAGCCTGGGGTGTCTGCCTGAAGGCCGGGGTCTCCCGGTTCTCTTCCTTTGGTGATTCTGCACTCAAGAGTTAATTTTCTAACCTTTTACTCTCATTCCCTAAATGCTCTAAATCCTGGACGAAAAGGTTGCCTCAGGCATTTCTCCAGCCAGCCCTTTGGGCCGGGTCATCACAACATGGCTGGAAGTTCTTCCGCAGTCTGACCATTTGGGCTGCTTGTTTGGTCGCCCTCCCTGGACTTCAGATTAAAGGGCCCAAAGTGCTTTGCTTCACTGGCACCACGAGGCATCCACGAGAGAACAGCAGCTCTGAGATCTAAATGGAGAAGTTGGATTTTGCAGACCTCCATCCTCTGCTGAGAATCCGACTTTCCATAAGCCGGGCTCATCGGGATTTCATTACGAATGGTGGCCCAGAGCCAATATTGAAATGGGTTTGGCTAGGGTGCAGAGTGACTGCAAAACAAAACTGATTCCAAACATCTGGAAAAATGAAGAGAAGGGGCGAGGAACTCGCAAGGCGCTGGCTGCAGCTCGTGTGGGTACCTCTGTGTCTGTCTGCTCTGGGGGCTGGGGAGGAGGCACAGCACAGAAGCGCATGTGGCCCTGCCTCCCAAAATGCTCCTGTCCGGTATGGGGAAAGGAGACTAGATTCTCATTAAACCAAGTCTAGACGGTCTGAGGGCCTCAACCGAGCAGACCAGGTAGGCCTGGCTATTACTGGTGCCATGTTTAAAGTGCTAACCGGAATTCTTTTTTAAAAAAATAAATAAGCCGTTCTTTATAAACACTCAACTCTCCTTTGTTGAGTTTAATAGTGATGGAGCCGGTGTAGTGTCGGGGAGACAGTCACCCTGAGTCTGTCCCCAGAGACTGAAACCACAGCAGAAGCCAGGACAGAAAGTGTCTTTTCCACTTGACTTCATGTATGTTCTTTTCTCTCGGAGGCTTTAGCTCCCACATTTCTGTAAGAATAATGCCCATGTCCCCACACTGGGCCTGGAAATGCTGACCGTGTTTGAACTGCTGAGCACCAGGCAAAGGCTACGCCACCGTACCTGGTCTCCTTGATCCCTTGAGGCCCTAGGCCGGTTGCGTAGAGTCGGCTCCTCCCCACCATCCTCTAAAAGCAGCTTAGCACTGACCTGTACTCGGCTCCCCAGCCTTTGACGAAGCTCATACGGATGGTGCACATGCGGGTCAGCTGGTAGACGGCCTCAAAGCCCTGGTTGACAGACTGAGCCAGGAGGGCAGCAAATTCCTGGTTGTTGAAGATCTTCAGGTTGCAGCCTGCCAACCACAGAGAGTCAGATAAAGCCATCCTGGAACCACCCAAACGGCTTAATTCACATGCCTCAGGTGGCACATGGTGCTTCCACTCAGTGGTCACCTGCTCTGTGCTCGTCACCCTGCAAGGATGGGCCTTCTCCATTCCAACACCTGATCTGCACACCCCTAGTGGGGAGATGGATGTGCAAAGGGGCACTAAAGGCTGGCCTGCAGGTGCAGGTGCCGCCGCCAGCTGTGGGGATGCCAGATGCGAAGAAGGAAGCCTGGAAGTGGGCTTGGGTGACACGGGTCATCTGCAGAGGCCGAGGCAGGACCCTAGAGTTCAGAGGCAAAGGACCTGAGACTGACTGACTGTCAGTGCCTTGTGGTATGGCAGCCACCCGGCAGGGGGGCAGGTGCTCCTTCATTGGTACAGCAGCAAGGCATGGGGCAGTGAGGTGGGCATGGAGCCCACTGACACAGGGATGGATGCTTACTACAGTCAGAAGCACTCTCCACCTGGCTCCTCTGATGGTCCTGCCTCACGCTGGGGCTGAGGAAGAGAGCTGGGTCACACGGTGACCTCTCTCTATTCAAGCTCGGGCCAAGGTGACAACAACAGTGTGCCTAAGTCAACTAAAGACAGGCACAAATAGCACTGAAAACACACTCTGTTTGGAGTCCTACTACCCAACAGTCAGGAGAGCATGACCCAGAAAATAAAGGCCAAAACCCATGCCCGGGAACCAGAGAACCAGCAGAGACCCTATCTGCTATGTGACTCTGCTCTACCTCTCCTTGTGGCCCTGTCTCCTTTAAGGAGCGGGGAGCCGGGCTTGGTCATCTGGGTCCTGACCATCTCTAAGCTGACAGGACACTACCAGAGCAGGGAAGGCAGCAGGCTGGGAATGCTCCAGGGGAGGTGGGTTGGACAAAGCAGAGTCCACACCCACTTCCAGGGCTACAGCCCCAGCTGAGCCAACAGTCTGAACACCAGGCTAGTTAGCCAGCCTTGCGTGGCTCAGTCCTGCTGTGCCTTCTTCCAGCTCTGGGACTTGGAGAGGTGGCTCCCTCTGAATTCTCCCCCCAGCCTTTCTTAGAGCCACGGGGGGTTGCTAGAGAGGAAGAGGGAGCTCAGAGATGTGAATGTGCTTTGTAAAGGAAACTAGAGCAGCTCCCAAAGCAGAACTCCATTCCTGGCTGAAATTTTCTGCGTTCTTTGGTTTACCCTGCCCACGGCCCACTAGTGCTATGTGAAGAGCACACAGCTTTGGCTTTCTGCCTTGGAGGGGTCCAGCCTGGAAGTTCTTGGGGTCCAGGAGACACCTCATAAAACCCTCAACTCCCCAGAATAAAACCCAAACTTTCTCACGTCATCCAAGGCCCGGGCCCAGGGTGCCTTTGAAACATCTCCCTGACTTTTACATGGCACCTCCAGCCAGTGTCCCGCCCTGCATGTCTTCTAAACCCTTGTTACAGTGCCCTTCCTGTCACAGGCTGTCATACACGACACTCCACCATCTCCTGGCACCGCACGTCTCCTCCAGGATGCCCTCCCTGATCACCCCACAGGTAGATGCCCTTTCTCCCTATCAGCTGCTCGCCTGGGCCTTGGAGGCGTCACACTCGTCTGTGTTCATCTTGAACACTGCAGGTCTGTGTAGCTGTGCGCACAGGAACACCCCGTCCACCTCCTCATCCTGCTCTGGTTCCTGTCACAGACCCCGAATACTCTCATGCTCGGAAGAATGAGTGAAGGAAAGGCGCCACCACGCACCCCTGGGTAGAGACTCGTTCGACGGTACCTCTGTTCTCTTGAGCTTCAGTGGCACAAGAGGATAGACAGGTACAGAGTGTCAACAATGCAAACACCAGTGTGGAGGAAAGGCAAGGAAGCCTTCCCAGGCGTGCCTCGGGGGCCATGGCCCCAGGGCAGCACTTCAGGGGCTTACCTGGGGGGATCTTGCAGACCGTGGCAGGGTGCCAGCCATAGCGCTGGTTGCAGTTGGGTGACTGAACAAAGATAGCGCTGTCGCTGAGGCACTCGGCGAAGACCTCCCCTCCGATGTAGTAGAGCCGCACGCCTCTCCCTAGGGAAGTCAGGAGACCCTGGGTCAGAGACCAACCCACAGGGCAACAGGCTAGCCGGGGAGGGGGCACCGGGCAGCTGCAAGTGGCCATTCCAGACAAGAGGAGGCCAGAGCCCAGCCCGAGCCAAGCGGGAGAATGGTGGGCAGCTCTGCGTTCCTAAAGCAGTTGAAAGAGTTGACACAGGAAGGAGCCTGTACCCAGCCCCAGGCCTGAGCTCCTGGCTAGAGGAGAATGGTAATAACCTACCTTAGGGGTGGCGACTGCAACAGTGCCTGGTGAGGGACAGCTGCTGGCGCCCCACTGCCCCAGTTCCCCCTCCCCACACAAGGCACAGAAGCCCCTTGGTGAAGCCAGGGTGCTACTGAGGCATCAGCCCTCTCTGGCCCCTTGCCCAAGGGACCTCCCTTCACACGGCTTCCTAGTGCAACCCTTGCTTTTCCCTTCAGTACCTAAATCTACTCCAGATGGACAGAAATTAATTTTCAATTGGCCCGGCACTCCAGCGGTTATGTAAACATTGGGCTCTGCCCAGTGGGGATGTCCCCTTGTGCCTAGGAGAGGCCCAGAGTGCAAGAAAATAGCTCGACTTGAAGACCAAAATCATGTGGGAAGGACCAGGTGACGTATCTACACACTGCCTGTCCAGACCCCTACTTCTGCCCTACCCCACACTCCCACCTTTCTCTCATCTGGGTTACAGCACTTGGTGCTGGGGGGGGGGGTTATCTCAGTGCCTCCAGGGGGCAGCAGTGGGTGTTGGGGGGGGTCCATTACCAATGTGCCGCCTCGTAAGTTCTACAGCTGCATTCCGATTGACATTAGACAGCAGGCCCAGGCAGAAGCGCTCAGAGTTGGAGGGATCAGTGAAGCCATCCACTGTCATGGACGGCTGTGAGGCATGGAATGTCTCCCCAACTCGCTGGTTCAGCTCGTAGTAGGAGATGGAGCACCAGAAGGCTGGCTCACAGTAGGTCACTGGCTGTAGGTCTGCAGAGAGAGGAAACATGCCAGGTCAGTGGGCACCCGTGGGAGCTCTGAAAGACCTCCCCGCCCCCAGTTTCCATTGCACAAAACCTTCAGGGAGTGAGATCCTCAGAGTCTGAGGGAGACCCTGCCAGCCTCTAAGGGAAGCGACCCTTGAGTCCATTTCTTTTGGGCCCACACGTACCCTGCTCCATAGGGTCTAGCCTTCCTGTGAACAGAAGCAGCCTTCGGAGAGAGGCTAGCCCAAACATGAAGTGGGTCAGGACCAGCCAGCACCAGGGCCAGTACCATAAGCAGCCCTAAGTACGCTCTGCATGTGGTATGGGGGCCATGCCATCTACAAAGTCACCTCCCAGCCTCTTCTGAGATCCTTGAAGGAGCCTATGTCAATCTCTGCCTCCCAGAGGGCTTTCATTTTGGTGTCATTTGGCCTGAGGAGCAACAATCTGTTCATCTGTCATGATATGGCCACAATGGCCTTGTGAGTTCAGCAGCACCTCATGTGTGAACATGCAGACCAGGAATCAGGACTGGACTGGCCATGTATCACACAACAGAAACCATGGCCCATCTTTACATAGTTGCCAGCCATGGGGACAATGGAACACAAAGCAGCTCAGAGGTTTCCTGTGGTTGTACCGCTGTGACTAGAAGCTCCTCAGGACAGACTAGCCACATGAGGACCAACTCTCTCCTCGGACAGCTGGGGACTGCTTGAAAAGGAGTTCTCTCACATGGCCCAGCCTTCCACTTCCATGTGCTAGAGTTAAACTCCATGTGGAGTTAAAACAGCCCTTCCCCAACCTGCACACCTCTACAGCATCCCCTTGGATGCAGCATCCCCTTAGCAGGCTGGGTTCTGGCATCCCCTCCCTCATAATCCCACAGCCTCCTACAGGACTTCATACACCTAGCACCACCTCCAGATGCTCCTCCACATTGTAGCTGGCCTGCTGGCCTTGGGGAGGAGCTTCAAGCCCACCTCCCGCTCACTGTCACCACCCATCTCAGACCTACACTCTCACCCCGGAACACTCTCAAGTATCGTGCAGCCTCCTGGTGATTTGGTGTATCTGTGTGGCTGGTGACTGGTATCTGTAAGTGTTCCAACTATCCAACTTGACTAGGAGGTCCCAGAGTCCCCTCTCCTTCCATGCATGGGGCTCTGATAAGGGAACAGAGATGGCTCAGCACTGGCCTGAGAATCCTGTTAGCTGTCCACCAGACAACTCTTAGCTGCTGAGACCTGTGCTCAGTATCTCTTGAGTGCCCGAGGCAAAGAGAACAGCAGATGCTGTATTACCCACAGGGAAGGGCCTAGGTGGCCCCTGGTGACACAGTGGCCCCAATCTCTTGCAGTCCAAGCAAATGGTCCTTGTAAGAGTAAGGCAGGGACACAGCCCCCTTTACATAGTACATACTGCCAGAGCCAGCCCCAGGGTCAGTACACCCTAAGCTAGGGCAAATGACTGCTTGGGAGAAAGGGGTTCCAGATATTATGGGATGGACAAATGCATCCTCAGCCTCCACCCACTGGAGACTAATAGAATATATCTACCTCATCCTCCCAAGTACTGACAATAAAAATCATTCCTAGACACCGCCAGATGTGTTCCAGGGGTTGGAAGTACTCCCCACTGGAGGCCATTGCCGTTTATGTCGAACCAGATCACAGAGTAATTCATTCATGCTCCCTGGGTCAACCTCTACATTGCCCCTGCCCATGTGTGGCATCCTCTAGGCCACTGGCACTATCGGTCGATTCTCTGGGCTAACTCCAGTAAAATGTGGGCATGCAGCAAGCAGGATATGGTACCAACAGGGATGATAACCTTGACTATGAACTTGGGATCACCCTGATCCTGTCTTGACCTTCCAGATGCAGAAAGGCAAAGCTCCCTCCCCTCCTCTTCTCACAGTTGAGCAAGAGGCCGAGGGGATGGAGGCCGAGGATGAAAGCTACTGTGCACGGAAGGGGGATCAGGAGACAGGAGCAGCTGTGGCCTGTGCCCCTGGCTCCCGAGCTTGGACCGAGCACATCAGCCACGTCCGGTCCTGGCTTTGCTCCATGCTTCCACATTCCAATTAGATAAGCTAGATTCTAAACAATTTAGCCACTAGAATGTGAGCTATGCTGCTTTGGACAATTTGTTTAAAAAAAAAAAAAAAAAAAAAAAAAAAAAAAAAAAAAAAAAGCCCAGTGCTAGTCAAAGTTTAAAATGGTCAGGTGACCTGTCGGTGCTGCCAGCTGCTACTGCCCAGGTACAGCCTCTACCTACCTTGAAATGTGTTCCTGGGGACATGGCCTTCTACTCTGGTCTGGTTCTAGAAGATAGCTAAAGCTGGGCATCTTGGTCACTGTGTTTCTGCCGTGTTTCAACCGAAAGAGGCAGCTTTGGCTGATGCGGGTCAGCCCTGGCTTCCTCAGTAACGGGTATAACAAAGTCCTCACCCTAAATTTCAAAGTCCTGTCTAGCATTTCGTGGGCCTAATCCAGGCACAGGAGAGTTAGTGTTAAGGTTCCCAGGAACACCGATACCACCAATCCCCAAAAAGGCTAGCACACCACCCAAGGTGTCTGTCAGACCTGGAAAAGCAGTGTTCTGGGGGGAAGGGTGAGCTTCCTGGGAGGGGTAGAAGGCTTTTCAGGCAAATCTGTACCCTCCTCCAAACACCTCTGTGACACTGCCCCCCAGGCAGTGGGCAGCACAGTAGGGAGACTGGACTCAGATGGACATGCCATGAGGACTCACAGCAGCTCTGTCATGGAACCGGGGCATAACTCAAAGGCTGCCACTTGGAAGGGTACCTGTCTTCTCTGGCTCAGAAACAGGACTGACTAGGGTAGCCCACTCCATGGCTTTTAATTCTCCGCAAGTCTGTGCCTTTAGGTTCCTTCTCTCTCTCCCTCCCTCCCTCCCTCCCTCCCCACTATCGGCCCTGGCTCTTCCTTCAGGCACTTCAGCTACAGCAGATGCAGAACAAAAAGTATAGTTACCAGTTCTCCTGCGGTGGTAGCCCTCCACCCCCACCCCATGCACAAATCTTTCCTAGCAGAAGTCAGAACAGGGGAGAGAAAAGAGTGATCGCTGGTGTAAGTGTGTGATCACAGCTGCTGACAGCACCCAGCTGAACTCTGAGCTTCCTAGAGGATCAAACAAAAAGGGAACACAGTTGTTAAGGTTCGGACCTGAGATGTACCCCACAGGCGCATGCAATTGAATACTTGGTCCCTAGCTGGTGGCGCTGTTTGAGGTTATGAAACCCTTGTCACACAGGGCCAAGCTGGCAGAGGTTAAGGCCCTGAGGGTTACAGCCTGCCCTGAGTTCTGGTTCCATGCTCTGCTTCCGGATCTACCAAGGTTTGAACAAACTGTGCTTCAAGATCCAGCCAACATGGGCTTAGCTGCTCCCAGCTACCATGCCATTCCCCCCGAGTGAGCACATCCAAGGTTCCAGAGTTTCCCAACAAGTGCAGAAGTAGTTTACATAGGGCCCTGAAGACCTGCTGTTCAAAAGCCCTTCTGGCAGCAAGACTGCAGGAGATTGGCTGATGCCCCATGGATGATGCCCCAAGGAACATGGGTTTGCTCAGCCAGACCAAGGCTTCCACACACCTGGGATCTTAGAAAAGACCTTGCCTCCACACAGCCCAGCTCCCACCAGCTTGCCCAATCCCTGCTAATCTCTTCCCAGAGCAGAGGTGTTGGAGACACGAAACCTCCACACTAGCCATCAGGGCCCCCACCTCCACCAGCACGGTGTCAGCCAGGCTTCTCGACTGGCATGGGGCACTCAATTCTCTGCTGGCCCCTGGCCAGCCTAACGCATTGGCTGGCTTCAGTTCTGAGCCCCGTTCCAAGCTGGCACAGGATCTCTGTTTTGTTTAAGGAAAAGAAAACAGAATAAAACCCAGAAGGCGACACTCGGATTAAGGGGTGCCTATTAAAAACATGTGCAAAAGATTCCAGTCAGCAGAAGCAGGGGAAGAGAGGGGCATGTCAACTTTCTCCCAAACTGAGGCAAGGGATGGACAAAGGTCTGCGTAGTGGGTACCACAGGACTTGAGGTCAAAGCAGAGATGGCCTGGCTAGTCTGGGCCCTCCCCACGTGGAGGATGACTCTGCCCGAGTCTTGAAGAGTCCACCCTCCAACTCCATAGCCCTTCTGGCCATCTCTGTCTTAGTTTGCTTTCACTGGGGTGCCCTTCTTCTTCTGTATGACCCTGACCTGCAAGGCCCAGTACCGGTGACATGAGACTTCCCTTCATGCAAGGTAATTCACGCCCAGCCACCTGGGCACCGTCTCCTGCTAGAAGGGTTGGCGCTCTGTGGCCTCAGCATCTGGGTCCTAATTCCAGCCTGCCTGAGCTTGAGGCAGAGAGCTAGGACGCACAAGGAAGACGTGTAAACTGCTCTGGCCTCGGACCAGTTTACTGAATCAGGAAAACAACGGGGGCCGAAAACCAGACCCCTGTGGCAGCTGACTCCTGCCAGCATGTTGCTCGTGTGTGTGTGTGTGTGTGTGTGTGTGTGTGTGTGTGTGTGTGTGTGTGTGTGTGTGTGTGTGTGTGTGTGTGTGTGTGTGATGCTTGTGCCTCAGGACAACCTCAGGTGTCAGTCTCCATCTTCCATCTTGCTTGAGACAGGGTCTCCTGCTCAGCCGGCCCATGAGCTTCCAGGGAGTCTCCTCTCCGGTCCCTGCCTCCCATCTTTGCTGTAGGAGTGCGGGGATCACCGACACAGGCTACCACATCCAGTGTTATGTGGGTTCTTGGGGTCTGAACTCACGGCCTCAGGCTTGCCCAGCTGTACCTAGTAAGCCACTTACCTAAGCCCCTGCTTGTGTTTTCATAAGCCTACCGAAAGCTGCAGCTAAGATGGCCTTTAAAAAGTACCCTGCCTGGCAGCATGGACTCAGCTGGCTTCTCTTCATTCTGGGGGGTGGGAGAGTATGAGGGGGGGTTGCTCCGGCCACCCAGCCCTGTCCTATCCCAGCAGAGGAAGGCTCGCCCTGCCATAGGCACTGCAGGAAGCCATTACCACAATAGGCTCCAGCTCTCTGCTGCCCCAGGGTTCTTACAAGGACCTCAGTTTCCTCAGCCCAGGCACACCCTTCATGTGTCACCGTGAAGCAGGGAACAACTTACTCACCAGAGGGACTCAACTGTCACCTTCCCTAACCTGCCGCTTCCTTTCCCTGTTTTCCTCACTCTTCCTGACTTAGACACTTAGGAAATTTCAGGTGACCCACCCAGCATGATGTGTCGGAGCAGAAACAGGCCCAGCTCACACCCTCCCTGCTCTGCAAAACAAAGGTCCCAGGGGTGCCCCAGGGCCAGCCTCCCAGCACCATGCCCCGCTGGCGCTCAGTCATGCCTTTGGGTCTGTCACTCAGGTCACTGCACCGCTGATTTAGAGAAGTGGCTTTGCTGTGGCAGGAAGCTGTCCCCAGACCTGAGCTGGGGCCTGAGTGGGGAAGAAAATGAAAGGCATAACCGGATGCTGTACACTTTCTCTTTGCATAATGATTTCATAACAAGATCTTTAAAAGACATACCTGTACTCTTGAGATAGCCCCATCTTTTTCTAGAAAGCACTGTGCTGACTAGAGTTACATCAACTTGACACACGCTATAGTCATCTGAGAGGAGAGAACCTCATTGAGAAAACGTCTCCATACGATCAGGCTGTGAGCAAGCCCGGAGAGCATCTTCTTTATTAGTGATTGATGGGGGAGGGCCCAGCCCTTTGTGGGTGGGGCCATCGTTGAGCTGGTGGTTGGTCCTGGGTTCTCTACGAAAGCAGGCTGAGCAAGCCAAGTAAGCAGCACTTTTCCAAGGCCTCTGCATCAGCTCCTGCCTCCAGGATCCTGCCCTGTTTGAGTTCCTGTCCTGACTTCCCCAAATGATGGACTATGATGTGGAAGTGTAAGCAGAATAAACCCTTTTTTCCCCAACTTGCCTTTTGGTCATGGTGTTTCATCACAGCAACAGCAACCCTAACTAAGACAAGCACTCTTCAGCGTTCTTATCTCCACCCTGCAGTTTGGGGAACCTAGTCACCAAGCACAAAGGCTGTTGCTGTTTGCTACCTCAACATCCCCCTTCTGCTTGCCCTTCAGCCCACGGCTGCTCTCTCCTGCACCACACACACCTCTGCCTGCTCTGTGAAGGGTGTCTCAAACTCCGGATGGCCCTCCTCAGCTCTTCTAACGTCTCCCGTTGCATTCCTGAGAAGTCTCCTCTGCTGTCACTGACCTTCACGGCCTCTATCTTCTGGCCACCGCGCCCATGACCCTATCCTCCACCTGGCTTCAGGCCTTTGTCTTCTGTCCCCAGTGTCCCCTTCTGCCTGTGTCTCTGGCTCTCTCCTGAGCCAGGCCCCTCCATCTACCCAATCCACCCACTCCCATGCCAGCCAAGCCTTCAGTGGTAGTTCTTGAATGGACTTGCTGGAATGGTCAGTGGGTAAGAGAGAGAGGTGGCCAGCAGCCATCTTTGTGGGAAGAACAGGAGATGGACAGGACTCTTTGCCATAGGCTTCTTACTATGCTGCCCACCCTAGGATGTGGGGGGGAGGGGGGCTCACATAGGCACTGTGTGCTCTGTAACAATGCCTTGGACCAACAGTAAACATGAAACCACGGTTGCAGCTCTGTGTCTTGGGCCCCAGCCTCCCTGGCTTCCCAGGGAGGTTTCAGGGCACAGCAACCTCTGCCAGTTCTGTCTAGGCCCGTCACACCTCATCACCGCAGGCCTCCTGACGGTCCCAGTCCTGTGCACACAGGCCCACAGCCACTCCTTGAAATGGTCTTTCTTATCTCTCGAGCGCGTTCCCCTGAGCTTCCCTCAGGATGGCCACCAGCTACTTGGGTTTCTTTCTGGTTTTCCTCCAGTAACTGCTCATCAAATTTATACTCTTATCTAGTGGCCAGATCACCTCTATGACGCTGCTATCTGGACCTCACTGTAGCCCTCCAGCACACCAGAAACCTCCAGCTGGGGGGACTGGAGTGAGGCGGCATCCAGGACTCGGCCACACCTTGCCCCTGCCCTTCCTGCCAGCTGAGGACCACACTGCTGGCTTCCTGGGAGCACACCTGCCCTTCCTGCCAGCTGAGGACCACACTGCTGGCTTCCTGGGAGCACACCTGCCCTTCCTGCCAGCTGAGGACCACACTGCTGGCTTCCTGGGAGCACACCTGCCCTTCCTGCCAGCTGAGGACCACACTGCTGGCTTCCTGGGAGCACACCCGCCCTTCCTGCCAGCTGAGGACCACACTGCTGGCTTCCTGGGAGCACACCCGCCCTTCCTGCCAGCTGAGGACCACACTGCTGGCTTCCTGGGAGCACACCCGCCCTTCCTGCCAGCTGAGGACCACACTGCTGGCTTCCTGGGAGCACACCCGCCCTTCCTGCCAGCTGAGGACCACACTGCTGGCTTCCTGGGAGCACACCCGCCCTTCCTGCCAGCTGAGGACCACACTGCTGGCTTCCTGGGAGCACACCTGCCCTTCCTGCCAGCTGAGGACCACACTGCTGGCTTCCTGGGAGCACACCCGCTCTTCCATCTGCCATGTTCCTCATCTTCTTCTACCTCCCAAAGTCCACCTGGCCTTCAAGGTCCCACTTACATTTGCCGAGTCTGCCCAGCCCATTGCATATGGCTTCCTCTTGGGCATACACAGCCCCTCCTCTATGCTTGCTCCCTCAGAGCCACAGGTAAATACAGATGTGATCAGATTATGAAGGTCTTAGTATTCTTCCCAGCATGGATCTAGACCAATGGTTCTCAACCTGTGGGTCTCAATCCCTTGGGGGGGAGGGATGTCGACCTTTTCACAGGGGTCACCTAAGACCATCAGGTAAACACAAATATTTACATTATGATTCTCAACAGTAGCAAAATTATAAAGTAGCAACAAAAAATAATTTTATGGTTAGGGGTCACCACAACATGAGGAACTGTGTTATAGGGTCACAGCATTAGGAAGGTTGAGAACCGCTGCTCTAGACCCGGGCATCTAGACACGATATGGATTGAGGAAGCCAAAATTCAAAGCCAGTTTCCCTGTCTGACGGCTGTGCGGCTGAGATGATACGGGCTCTCCTGACCTGTGACATGGAAAGTCACCAAGCTTCTGCCCATGGTTACAATGAAGACCGGCCCTCGGAGTACCCTGAAGAGGCCCCAGGAGACACTCACCCTGTCACCCTGCTCTTTGCTCATCTCCTCCCAGCCGTCAGCCCAGGGCTAAGATTTGAACACGTGAGGAATCCTAAGTCAGAAAAGTCCAGCCCAAGGCTGCTGCCACCTTCAGACTGGCCTGTGACCTTGACGGCTTTCACAGTGGCACCTGCCTGGACACAGCAGGGTGAAATGGCCCCCCAAATAAATCTAAAGCAGCTCACTCCCAAAGCTGGAAGCTCAGAATCGGCCTTTAATGGCTTCTAGCCTTAGTTTGTTTTCAAGAACTCAGTCCCTGCGCTATCGGGAATATGACCTTCCCTCAGCCAAGCCCCTCCACATTATGCTGCAAAATTTAAGCTGTATCTCAAAGTCATGTTTTGCTCCGCCCACATGCCGGCACATTTCAAAGGCTCTTCACACATTTCCCAATATTCCAAATGATGAGTTTTATCTGATACTATCTGCCAAGGTCTTCAAACAAGTGGGCACAACAGCCTGTCCTAAGTACTGTGTTCTCAAGCGTTTCACCATGATCAACAGCTTTCCCAGAGCCACAAAGCAAGTGCCAGCCTTAACCCCGCCCCCGCCCCAATGAACCCAAACTTCAGACCAGAATATCAAAAGCTACCTTTGATAAAAACAACACGGACATCTCATCTGTTTTGAGCCCTTCTGCCATTTCTAGCCCCAAGGACTCCTGCAAAGCCTCCCTCTCCCACGCTGGTGGGATGCTGCCAGGCTGGTAGGGTGACCCTCAGAATGCTGACCTGCAGACCAACAGCTGAACGTTGTTGTGGGAACAGTGGGGTCAGCTGATAGAAACATCTTGAGATAATACAGTGATAACCAAGACATCTAAATGGAGAAACACACTGTCAGAGTAACAGATGCAGAGAATGGGAAAGGCAGACGGGCCATGGTTTCTGTGGCACGGCACACATGTATACGCTGCCCCACAAACACCAGACAGACCATGATAAAACAGTTGCACTGGGCAGTGTGATAGTGGGCACACTGCTCTCTCCTCAAATTCCTTATATGTTGCTGCTTTAATAACAAGCAATTATGAGATGATATACTCAGCTGAAATCCCAACGTGTGTCTGAAACAAGCTTCTGGGAGCCGGGGGCTGAGTCTGGGCAGCTGCCTGTGGCTTTGCCCTAAGCCACACACATGTGTCTGGCTGACCGAGGCCCCTGTCTCCTAGGCCTGAGGTCTGGGAGATTTTGTTCACTCACGTCTGAACACTGCCCAGGGGAAATACGAACCCCAGCAAAGACTGTCTTTCCTGACGCCACTGATCTCAGGTTTCCCTGTTCTGAGGTGACCCCAGGATCACCGTAACCAGAAACCCATGGGTTACACTGGGCTGGTGGTGAAGGAGGGGGCATGGCTCACCTCCACTGTCCCTTCCCACTGAGGCAATCAGCTGAGCAAGAGCCAGGAGTGGGGTGGTCCCCACCTTACCGATGAATACTCACCCAAGTTATTGTGTGCTGGGGACATCGGATTCGGGGATAGGTTTGGAGAGCCTGCAAGGTGAGACACAGTGTAAGGTATTGTGGGAGTACTCTACAATCAAGCCAGGATCACTCACCATGCTATAAGGAAGCCCTGGACCACGCCTTGAGTCCCAGGAGTAGCCCAGCCTGGGCCTGGCTCCATGAACTCCCCCGACTACTCATCTAGGCATGTTGCCCTATCTGTGGAATGGACGGATGGAGTAGCTAGCCTTAGAGGGCCCCTCCAGCACCTTATGAATCTAAGCAAGGCTCCAGCACAGGCCATGGCAGGCTCAGCTAGGCCAGCTCACACACCTGCTCTCATGAGGGGCTGACTATTCCTTAGGGAATAAAAGGATAAGGAGACATACTCCTGTACTGCACAGCCCTGTGCTGTGGAGAGGGGACCTCCCTCCCTCCCTCCCACACTGCCCAACTCACAGTCTAGCTCTAAGGTACCTGGAATCTCAGGAAACTCACAGAAATCCTGCAACCCAGCAACCGGCTTGATACTTTGTGCAAGGCAGGAGATGGCATGTGAAGTCTAATTCTACCTAATTCATACTCTGATCTTCTATCTACCCCTGGCTACCAAGAAAAATTGCGCGCGTACACACACACACACACACACACACACACACACACACACACACACACACACACGTCTTCAAATAAAGCCAGTTGCTGCCTTTCCATGAGGCCCCATCCTGCCCTCCTTTGTTCCCATGTGCTTTGGAGTGCGGTTATTTATTTATGAATGTCTTGCAGTCTGGCCCCACCCCCTGACATCCACCAGACCTTGAGGCTGAGCCCTGAAGCTGCCTTGAGCTGCCCCCGGGGCTCTTTTATTTCACCCCAAGAGAGCTCTGAACTCTGAGAGGGTAAAGAGCAGGTCACAGGCTTCCTCCTCTCCCCTGTGGCAGTACCTGACCCAGTGGAGATAAGGAACAATTCTGGAGGCCATAAAAGGACTTGGACAGCTTGCTACATATCAGCCATGACTTTGGCTGTGGTTTTGCTAAAAATATATTACATTACTGGGCCTTAATTTTTCCCCTGGTACGAAGTAGGGAATAATCATCAATTGACCTATATAAATGAAGTAAGATGGTTACATTAAAAAAAAAAAATTAATGCCAGGATCGGCATACGGGAAACCTTCAACAATTGTTTCCTACTTTGTGGTAGCCCAAACCAGGAAGGTCTAAGGTTATCCTGAAAGAGCACGTGCTGCCAGGGAAGACCTGAGGCTGTCTTGGGTGACCATCAGACCAGAGACACCTCCCCACCTCACCTGGTAGGTAGGGAAGGCAAGCCCATTAGCAACTGGACTAGGAACCCAAATGGGCTACTTGGAGGAAAACCAAAGAACAAAGGGAGACCTTCACCCATCCATGCCTAGGTCGGCTGGGGACACAAACCCTGGCCCCACAGAGCTCTGCAGGGAGAAAGAGACACAGGGGAGGGGACACAGTATATAACGGGTGGGAAAGAAAATGAAGGGAGCGAGCAGACTGGAGCCAGTAAAAGCACGCATGCCTAGTGCTCCCCACAGCCAGGCCACTCTGATTAGGCTTGTTCAAAACAGTCATTCCACACACGGGGGGTGGGGGAAAAAGCTGACGAGAAGCTCCACAGCTGGAGGGAGGCTGCCTAGCTGGCTCACTTCCCATGCCAGCACTCCGCAGCTGCAAGGGTGCAGCGGTCACTTGGCAATGAGCACAGGAAGGTCTTCCGTGCACTCCAGCTGGGTCCATGCTGCCAGTCACATGCCTGGATGGGTGTGTTTCGGGGGTGTGCTTGACCTAAAAGCACAACACCCCCCGTGACTGTGCTTCCACTGCACATGGGATCCCTTTTCACCCTTCTGTGGGTTGTGTAATTCCTTGTGGTCTGTGCGTGAGGCCGCCCGCCACTGTGGGAATGGAACATCTGCTGGGCCCCTTTCTCCCTCCTCACCCACCACACAATGCGGAGCAGGTCCTGTGTGGCAGCCGGGGCTCTGTTCAAGAAGCTGCTGGTTTGGAACCAATTGGGTCCCATAACATATGACACAGGAAACGTCTGGGAACGTAACAGGAGAAAACTAGGCCCAGTCCCTCCCAGCAGGGGCACGCTGATCACATGTGGCCACTACATTTGCGGGGGGGGGGGGGGGGGGGGGGGTCGCTTCTAGTGTCTTTGCTGGTCACCAGAAAAGGCTGTTCCTCCATGCAGGTTTTGCTCCCTGCTCTCCTGCACTGTGCTGGGTGTGGGAGCCCCCTTCCACCCTCTGCCAACACCTCACCCAGGTCCCCTAACACCTCAACATCTGGGGCAGGCTACACTGTCAGTAAAACACCCTTGTGTCCGTATGGCACAGGGTCTCTTCCACCAGTGATGTACGACACACAAGGGCTGCTCTACAGACACTAGGCAGACAGGACGGCGGGGAGGCAGAAGGCACGGACAAGTCTGCAGGCATGCCCACACTACTGACCTGCGTCCATGCTGTGGTTCATCTGGTGGTCACTAGTTTCTCCATCTTCGCTCAGGTAGCCAGGGGGTGGGGTTTCTGGGGATTAGAAGGCAGGCAGTTCCATTAAAAGGCATGCAAGGCCTGGCCCTGGCACTCCATTTGTTGGCCAATATACCATGTCACCACTGAGTACAGGGTGCCTAGAGGAAAGCTAAGCCTCAAGGGAAGATGTCCGCTGCTCTTGGACTCTGCCATGCTCAGGTCTGTCCAGCGCTGCCCTCTGGCTCCCAACCTGGATCCTTACACACTGACTCCCAAATCTGAAATGCCTGGCTCTAGGACCACAGCTTAGCTGGCTGGTCCCCATCCTTCAAGGTCAGGCTAAGAAGGGAGGCTTTAGGACATGCCTGCTTTGCCATCTCGGTCTCCTGAGGAGCTGTGGCCTTGAGCCTGTCCCTGTGCAGATCGGCTACTCCTGTCACTGTTGTCTCTAGGGGATGTGGCTGAACTCCCCAAGAAGTTCGCCGTTCAGTGGTGGCACCGTCAGTGATCTATTTCTCGGAACTCTACCTCACCTTCCCACCCTGCCTTAGCCCTCCAAGGCCTGCCATCTGACAGAGAGTAGACAGCTTACCCCCCCCCCCCCCCCGGAGACCAGCACTACCTGAGAAGCCAGACAGCTGGCCTCTGCGTGCATGCGTTCTGACCCAAGACACGGGCCACGGCTAACCTCAGCCCAGTAAACCAACCCAGAGAGCGAAAGCCACATCCAAATTAGAACGCTCTAAAAGGAGCACGGCTGGATCACTGCCCCAAACGCAAAAGTTGCCCCGACTGGCCCTAGCGTGGCCAAGCACAGCTTCCCTGGATGCCCAGAGTGCCTGGCAGTGATTCACACTTTATTTGCATGTAAATGAGGGTCTTCTAGAAGTACTGGCACCATGACAGTGAAGCACATTCTCTCCACTCTGCCCAGTCCAAAGCTCGGGGTACTTACAGGGCCCTCTGCAGCCTCACCCCACACTCTGTGTAGCCCCTACCCTTCAGGGACCCTGCCTGTGTGCCAGTCTTATGGGCTGGGAGGGAGAGCAGAGACACAGTGTTGCTATTTCCGCTTTCAAAATAAATGACGGCACCGAGGCCCTGCAGAAGGGTCACAGGGTCCTCCGTGCCAAGACAAACATCGTTAGGGGAGCCTGGGCCACCGACCGTCCCGGCTGAGATGTGGTTCAGAATCAGGGCCCAAGAGCCTGCTGTCCGCACCACGACGTGGAGAGGATGGGAAAACGGCACCACCCCTGCCTCCGGGCTGCCTGTAGTGCCACCCATGCCTACCTGGAATATTGCTTTGGGGCTCAATGCCAGCAGGGAAGTTGGTGTTCTCAGGGATGGAATGGCTGTAGTCATCCAGCGGGGGAAACTCGGCCGGGATCTCGGTGTGGCGCGGCACCAACACGGGAGGTAGAACTGTCCCCAGGGGAGACACAACAGAGGCGGGTCAGTGCCAGGGCGCCAAAACTGCGGTCCCCAAGGCACCTTAGACCCTCCAGAGTCGGTAGGTGGGGGAGGGCACGGCCACACACACATACCTGGCGTCTCTACTCTCTGATAGTGGTAAGGATTTACACACACTTCATCCTTCTTCATGTTGAAGGCGAACTCACACAGCTCCATGGCCCGTAACTCATGGTGACTGTGCAGGTCAGGCCATCGCCACAGACGGCAGTAGATGACATGGGGAAGCCCCTTCCGATGGGACACCTGCAGCCGGCCATCCAGTGACCTGTCGTGGCAAAGAAGGGACAGAAGGTGTCAGTGAAGTAGGTTTGGATTGCTGTCTCCCATATCCAGCCCCCAGCAGCTCCTGGGGAGTTCAAGTTTGCTGGCAGACACTTTCGAGCTCTTTCCTCCCCTGGACACAGGGGACCAGGAAATCAAAGCACCACTGCTAACTGTCCTTACTGGACATGGTCCCAGCTCCCCAAAGTAGTAAGGAGGCCCACCAAGGAGGGCCCAGGCTTTCCAGGCTGGAAGAAAGGACTTGCATCCAACAGACCCCAGAATTCTCACAGCAGCAGCTCTCAAGGAAGAGAACTTGCTTGAAATACACTCAAGCAGGTATACATGCTTCCAATCTCGCCCCTGTGGAGGTGGCCAGTGGACAGGGTGGAGGCTAAGTCCAAGACGACAAGAAGAGGCTAGAAGGCAGGCAGAGCTGATCTGACAGGGAGTCCGACTTTTCTCTAAACGCAGTAAATGGCCTCTGAGATGTTTACATGGGCTGTGTTCATGCACATTCGTGAAAAAGTCAAGCGCTGAGGTAGGTCTGGCTGCATGTGGCCCACAGGTTGGGGCAGGGGCTGAGTATAGAGTAATATGGCAGGACTGCCCCTCCACAAGAAAGCTTGTCCCAGGAGCTCCAGGTTAGGGGCATGATGTTTCTAGAGGCTGGGTCAAGCTAGCAGAGAGCCATTGCAAACTGACCCTCTGTCCCTAGGGCACCTATAGGGCTGAATTCAACAGATTTTATGAGTGCTTTATAAGAGTGCGGCTGGCCAGATGTGCCAACCAGAGCCAAAGAGGGTCCAACCAATCTCCAAGCCACTGGCTGGAATGGGGAGGGACGAAGGTCAGCGCTGGGCTTGGTCACAGGGACTGACTGAGAGCTGCTGACTAAGGACATGTGGAAGGATGTAATTACCTCCCTCCCATGAGGCCCAGACCCAGACCCAGGAACCCCACAGCTGAAAACAGTAATTACTGGGCCAAACAAGAGAGGACAGCCTGAGACTAGTCCTTGAGGCACAGAAGGACGTCAGCCAGCAATCTTAAGACCTGAGATGTGGCTCACGCTCCTGACTGTGCAGCCCCAGGTACCAGGACCCTCAACTGCTGTATCTGTAAGATGGGGGCAGTATTCCCCTTGCCTGATCTCTACTGGAAACCGCTTTACAAAGCACCAATGGTGAGCATTCCTCTCAGCGTCACTGGTGACTGCAGTCATTCTCTAAGCCAGCTCTAGGCAAGGTGGCCGAGCTGCGGAACAAGAGAAAGAGTGAGTGGAAAGTGGAGATATAAAATCCTTCAGCTCACCTCACTTTCAAATCTCCCGGATCCCCCAAAGATAAGGGAAGTGGCCACACTGGCTCTTCAGGGTATGACAGAAGCCCTCACACAAGGCTAGCGGGATGCTGAGGTCACCTCTCTGGTGGGAAAGAGGGGGACAAGAGAGGGGGAGTGGCTAGAGAAGGGCAATGTCAGCAGTAAGGAGGAACAGGCCGGAGAGGCCCACCTGCACGGTGGGAGGGCCATCTTCTTGCTTTAAGAGTAACAAAGGGAGCTAGGGAGATGGTCAGCCAGCAAAGCCCGTGTGTCACAGGCACAAGAACGTGAGTTCAGTCCCCAGAGCTCACGTGACAAAAGCTGGGTGTGGTGGCGCACTGAGGAGGCAGAAACAACCAGATCCTTAGGGCTCGGTGGCCACCCTGCCTAGCTTACTTGGTGAGACCCAGGCCAATAAGACCCTGTCTCAAAAAATAAAAACAAAGTGGACATCACCTGAGGACCAGCAGTCAAAGCTGTCTTCTGGCCTCCACACACACATACAAACATGTGCATAGGTACTGCACACGTCGGCATACCTGCACACCCAAACCCACATAAGTACATGCATAGATGTATAGAAAAGAAACAATATATTCCCCAAAAGCCAGAGTACTATCCTCATCAAAGCAACATGGCAATGTCCTCAAAACTGACCAGCATACAACGGGATGCAACCAAGGCCATCAACAGTCACATATACATGAACACTGACTTTCAACAAAGGTCCAAAGACACACCCACCAGCTGGGAAAGGCTGATCTTTCAACAGGTGGTGGAGGACCTACTGGAGATTCACACTAAGAAAAACGAACTTCAACCTACACCTTACACCTCGGTAGGAATGGAGGGTCAAAGTACAAAATTCAAAACAACAAAAATGTCAAGTCTAGACAGCCAGGCGGTGGTGGCAGTGGCAGCGGCGGCGGCGGTGCACGCCTTTAATCCCAGCACTCAGGAGGCAGAGACAGGTGGATCTCTGTGAGTTCAAGGCCAGCCTGGTTGACAGAGTAAGTTCCAGGACAGCCAGAGCTGTTACACAGTGAAACTCTATCTTGAAAAAACAAAAACAAACAAACAACAACAACAAAATGTCAAGACAAAACTTGGGAGGATCTCTGCGACTGAACAATGACTTCTCAGCTGCTACACCAAAAGCACAATCTATTAAAAATCAAAGTTGATATAGCGATGTATTGGAAGTCAGGTAGAGACTCCTGATCTGTGAGACTTAAGAATGACAGGTGACATTGACAAAGAATATATCTCACAGAGGTTCTGTTTCTAAGATAAAGAATGCCCAAAACAACCCAATTTAAAATAACAGGTGAATAATTTAAACAAACGCTATTTTAAAAACTTGAAGATGACAACAATGTTCTATTTCATTACTAATTAGGAAAGTATGGTACATAGTGGATTCAAACTGTAACTTCATTGAGTGGATTCAAACTGTAACTTTGTAGAATGAATTCAAACTGTAACTTTGTAGCGTGGATTCAAACTGTAACTTTGTGGCGTGGATTCAAACTGTAACTTTGTGGCGTGGATTCAAACTGTAACTTTGTGGCGTGGATTCAAACTGTAACTTTGTGGCGTGGATTCAAACTGTAACTTTGTGGCGTGGATTCAAACTGTAACTTTGTAGCGTGGATTCAAACTGTAACTTTGTAGAGTGGATTCAAACTGTAACTTTGTAGAGTGGATTCAAACTGTAACTTTGTAGAGTGGATTCAAACTGTAACTTTGTAGAGTGGATTCAAACTGTAACTTTGTGGAGTGGATTCAAACTGTAACTTTGTGGAGTGGATTCAAACTATACAAAGGGACTGGAGAAATGGCTCAGCAGTTAAGAGCACTTGCCATTCTTGCAGAGGACCTGGGTTTGATTCCCAGCACCCACACAGTGGCTCACAACCATCCATAATTCTAGTTCCAGAGGATCTTATGCCTTTTTGTTGGGTCATCAAGCACACTATGGAACATAGACATGTGTGCAGGCAAAATACCCATACACATAAAATATAATGTAACTACATACAATGAGATGCCACCACACAACTATCGGAACAGCTGTAATTAAAAGGACTGTGTGTGCCACGCGCTGGCAATGGTGTGGAGCAACTGGAACTCTTCCACATCACTCATGGAAAACAGTGATGCGGTGGCTCTGAGAGACCGTTGGGGAGTTCCCTTAAAAGTCCAAAGTAGAATCCCTCTCTAATAGCTTTTTTTTCAGTCACTGTGATTAAATAATCTGACAAAAACTGTGATGGTCTGTCTCAACTGTCAATCTGACAAATACAGAATCACCTGGGAGATGGGTCTCTGTGTATGCCTGTGAAGGATTGTCCTGATTGGGTTCATTGCGATGGAAGACCAACCCACTATGGGTAGCACCGTTCCCTGGGATGAGATCCTGGACGATTAAAAATGAAAGTATGAGCTTCCTGTACCTGCACTGTGACCAGCTGCCTCGAGCACCCGCTGCCTCAACTTCCCACCATGATGGGCCGCACCTCACTCCTGGCAGCAGCTTTTGTCTTGTTAGTTAGTTGCTGTAATAAAGTACCCTGACAAAAGCAACCTAAGGAAGAAATAGCTTCTTCTGGCTTCCAGAGACCTACAACCCATCACTGCGGAGGAGACAAGGCAGAGGAGCTGGAAGTCAGCTGGTCATACTGCATCTGTACTCAGGAAGCAGAGTGGACAGGAAGTGGGGCTAGGCTATAAAGCCTCCAAGCCTACCTCCAGTGACCTCCCTCCTCCAGTGGGGCTCTACTTCCTAAGGGTTCCATATCCTTCCGGTGTTCTCAAAGCCTGGGACCAAGTGCTCAGATATGGGAGCCTACAGGGTACCTTTCACCTGCAAAGCCTAACTAACCCCCACCATAGGATCTACCTGGTCTTCTAAGCATTCCCCCCAAGAGAAACAAGACAGTACATCCACAAATGCACAAACGTCTAAATATTTTGATTTGTCCACACAAAGGATGACTGGCGATAAACGTTATTGGCCTATGGTGCAATGCACAGATCAATGTCGTAAGTGAAAGACACTGGGTCGTTCTTTTCATATGTAACTGCTTAGCGTGTATTTTAGCTCAGCTGTCACTCTAGCTTTGATCATGGCTGATATGATAGAGGCCCCGGGCCAGATCAAACTTGTACAATCCCCTTGCCTCAACCTCCCAAGTGCTGAGACTACGAGCATGCATCACCACTGTGCCCACCAAACTGTAGTGTAACTTGAGGTAGCAGCTGCCTGGGAAGGCGAGGTGTGCGTGCAGGGATGGGAGGGATGGATTCAGCAAGGCCAAGGGAGACCTTGGCGGGATACAGGTTCTATTTGTTATCTTGACTGCGGTGCTTTTCTGGACAGACACATGTTGAAATTTACCAAACAGCACACTTTAGGTATGTGCAGTTTATTTGTAAATTATACCACAATTCCAAGGGGAGGGAGGTGAAGACTTTGGCCCTGGCTAAGCCTGGATTTGCTATTTCCGTGTTCAGCAACTCTATGAACTTGAGCAAACCACTTAAAACCTCAGCTTTCATATTTTGTCTGAACTAGAAGTACCACTGCCAGACTCCTGAGAGGCCTAAGTGACACTCCATGTGGCCCTGGGCACAGTGAGAACACATCAGCCGTCAGCAGCTTGCTGCTTTAGCGATGAG